GTGTCTGTGCTTATTCCCAGACCACGGCAGCCTCCATGCTCTGCCTGAGCTCAAACCAATCTGCCGGCCACCACGCTGGTGTCCCCTGCCTGTGCCCATCGGTGGAGCAGCCTCGGTGCTTTCGATAGAGATGCTGGCTCACTTGGAGGTGGCTCGGGTAACTGCTACTGTCTGCAGGCAGTCAGCTTTTTCTTTTTCCTATGAATATACCTCTTTAAGTTGTCCCTAGCTGGCTATCCACTGGTTGAAATACTCTTCAAGTGAGCGATTCCTCATGCTCAGTACATCTTTCAAGACCAGGTTGGATGGGGCTCTGAGCAACCTGGTCTAGTTAGCAGTGTCCCTGCTCCCTGCAGGGGGCTGGACTAGATGACCTCTAGGGGTCCCTTCCAACCCAAAACATTCTATGATTCTATGATTCTATGATGCTATGATTCTTTGATTCTATGATTCTATGATTCTATGATTAGAAGTGACTTATCCCCAGCCCGCGCCGGCCTCCATGCTCTGCCTGAGCTCAACCCAATCTGCCGGCCTCCACGCTGGTGTCCCCTGCCTGTGCCCATCGGTGGAGCAGCCTCGGTGCTTTCGATAGAGATGCTGGCTCACTTGGAGGTGGCTCGGGTAACTGCTACTGTCTGCAGGCAGTCAGCTTTTTCTTTTTCCTATGAATATACCTCTTTAAGTTGTCCCTAGCTGGCTATCCACTGGTTGAAATACTCTTCAAGTGAGTGATTCCTCATGCTCAGTACATCTTTCAAGACCAGGTTGGATGGGGCTCTGAGCAACCTGGTCTAGTTAGCAGTGTCCCTGCTCCCTGCAGGGGGCTGGACTAGATGACCTCTAGGGGTCCCTTCCAACCCAAAACATTCTATGATTCTATGATTCTATGATTCTATGATTCTATGATTCTTTGATTCTATGATTCTATGATTCTATGATTAGAAGTGAGTATGTTCTTGTCCCACCCAGGAGACGCATCAGTGTTTGGGAACTGCTGCTCTTGGAGGACCGTGGGACAGCCGTTCCTTCATGCCACACTAATTAATCACAGTCATGTCCTCAGATCGATATTTCTTGAGATCTGGTATCGCATCTCCCCGAGGTCCTATTTCAGACTTTCATAGAAATTAATAAGGTAGCAAATTTTACCTGCAGTGATAGGGGACAGAGCAGGGGGCTCCCATGAAGCCGGGGGCTGCTGCCCGGAGGAGGGACTGTGGGGAGGATGTTCCCCTGGCTGCTGATCTGCTGGGCAATAAGTAGCGATGCAGAAAATGCACCGATAATGCCCAATAAAAAAAGCATTTCAGCTTGAAATTAAAGACACAAGAAGGAAAAATTGCTGCTGGCCACCAATAGCCACAGGCACCTGCGGTGTTTCTACAATTCAGGAGCTTCAGCAGGGCTGGGGTGCGCTTGTGAATCCAGATGAATGGGACCGCTGAATTGGGCGCTGGGGTTTTTTTCTTCCCTCTGTGCAAACCTGAGGAGGGAGACAGGTAAAATCCTGACCGCCCCCTGCGCGCCCGGGGCGCAGTTAGCCGCAGTGGATAATTGTGGGCTGCGTATCCAGACGCATTCAGGTTGATGGAACAACAGCGACGAATGCAGCAGGATCTGTAATTGTGCTGTTCGTGCTGGGTGGCCTCTGCGAGCATGCCGGGGAGGAATTCACACTTTGTTTTAGCTACGTGGCCTTCAAACACAGCCTTTTGGTCTGTCTGTTTATGCATTTTTGTCTCGTGTTGGGGCCAGCCCAGGCGAGCAGAACCGTGTTGGGCGTTACCTCTCCTTAGCCAGCTCCCACCCTCCCCACGCACACAATCCCAGCTTTATTTCTCTGGTGGAGGATAACCTGTCCTGGACAGCATCGCCTCTGGAAGCGGCACCGTTAGGTGGGGGCAGGCTTGAGGTGTTTGTCTGGAGCCT